GTATCTGGCTCAGCTAGGAACATGGCACATATCGTGATATCCATGCATGAGGTTGTATTATGTGCATGCATGTGTGCTGCTTAGGCAAGTCGATGAACAGCATTTTGTATGATGCCTGGAACAGCGCCTCAGGGGAGTGGAAGAAAAGTAAATTTCTTCAAAACATACGAGAACGACATACCCAAAAGCGAAGAGGTGTCAGGAAATGGTTTTTGGAGAAAGAACTGGTGACACGTTTTGGACCTGAGATTGCCAGTGCTATAATGCAGCGCAAGCACGATGACCCTGAGCTGACCAAAAGCGAAATTAGAGATTTTCCAGAGGCACCAGACACATGGCTAAGCTATGACCTATGTCAGTTGCATATGTGTGTGGTAGATTGTAGCAGGTTCTATCGAGAATGTGCAATAACATGTGACTTATTCAGGAACTCAAGCAGTACCTTGTCCTGGACGAGGACGCTGCTGAGGAGGTTCAAGAGGAGTCTTTGGATAGACTATATGAAGCGGTTGATGAATCTTCCAGTTCAAGTTCTTCGTCCAGCTCTGTACATGCGACATGTTTTATCTTTGAATGATCGAACTATAGTACTTCCAATGCAAACATTGGATCAACATATGCATGATCAGGGAAAGAAAAAGAAGAAGCAAAAGAAGGAGACATCTAAGAAGAAGAACAAGAGCAAAAAAAAACAAGAAAAAGACCAAGAAGAGCAAGAAAGAAAAGGACAATAACAACGAGGAAACCGCCAAAGCAACAGAGAAAAAGACCGCCATCAAAGACGCCAAAAAGGTGGGGGGGAAGGAAATATAATATATTTGATATTATTGTTTTTCATTCTACCCAATTTTCATGGAAACAAAAAACATCAGGCCATCGGCAATGCAAACACAAAGATCAAGAACGGGGCTGACAAGAGCAAGGATCTTTCTTCGCTGTTTGGCTCTCGATATCATGTTGTTTGATCGCAAGTCAAAATCGATATAGGTGTTATAGTCATGGTTCATTCAGGTCTGACCACCTACGGGATGCAATTTCGAAGGATATCGGGGACACACTGGCTTCAATGGAGGAGAAAAGGTCTGCCCTTCAAAAGGCTTTGGACAATTCTCAGGCACTTGTTTTTTCTGAAGCTAATGTGGTGAAGAAAGAAGCGGGTATATGATTGCATGTGATTCGTGCTGCAGGAACCTGACATCTTGAATAAGCTTTCCACTGAGCTTACGGATGCCGGGAAGAAATATGACAAAGCTTTGGAACCTTTAAAGGCAAAGCCACCCAAAAAGAACAAAGCAGCTGCCTAGCCAGGTCACAAATGGGTGATCACAGGTTGGGCCAGCTCCAAGATTTTGAACATTTACTCGGATGAACTAGCTTGCATAGCTAGGTGGCATTTCGCTAGACTTGGTGTGGCAGCCATGGACCCATCAACCTTTGCATTTGTGTATTCAATCGATCCGATCATATATAGATCAAGTACAACTGTAGTTGAGTCAAGTCGACATGTCTCTACACGTGCATTTGGTGGGTGATTGCCACTCTTCAGGGAGAGCAGACTCTATAGCATGTCTGTTGAGATGAAGGGGGCACAGGTCCCTCAGCTGGATCACCAAACCCGAATGCACCTGGCGAAGGAAAGAATGAGTGCAATTGATTTTGTCAATATTGTTGCCTGCCGGCATTCCTATCGGTCGATCGATAATCTGGGGAAACCAATTTCATTTCGATACATCGATTCATTCTTCGTTTGCCGCAAGGTGCTGGTACTGGTGATGATGCAGGGCCACTACGAGAGAATCTGCTTGACAAGATTGCATCTGGTGTACTTTGGCAAATATTGATCTGAAACGATTGCACTGCACATACAAAAACTTTATAGTTTACTGTGTAGATCCATGGAAAAATTGGAGTGGTTCATGGTTCAGGCAACCTCCGCTTGTGCAGCAGTGGAAGCTGCCCAGTCTACGTTCAAGGCTGGGAGCATGTGTGAGCAGCTGTTGAGCCAATTAATATCATTGGTCCTTTGACCTTTGTAATTTAAACTTGAAAACATTCGGACAGGAGGCCAAAGGCTTCACATCGTCTTGGACAAGAAAGGTTGCACAATATAGCTGCAAACGCAATAGGTCCAGGGATTTCTATCGAAATGCCAACTTACCAGTGGACCCTTGTTTGTGATTGATTATGATATGTGTTTTGTTTCATTTTTGTAAAGAAACTCAAGTGGTGAAAAATACACGCATGTTGAAGGGACACCACATTGGCCACTCTCAGGAACCGGTACAAGTGACATGTCCTGTCAACGGCCCGAAGATGGATGGAACAACAATCGAGATGACGCTGCCATTGCTTCAACCATTTGAAGTTGTCAAATTTTTGTATGAGGATTGCAAAGTTGATATTTCGATGGATAGACAGCGGGAGTTCTGGCAACACTTGGACAACATGAATGATCCTTGGGCAGTTCAAACTCAACAATTTCGTGCTGAACTTAATCGGCCTGTGCTTACATGTGGTTTTTATGGTGATGAAGCCAACTTGGGATTCATTGGTGTACAGGAAAAATATATGGATTCTTTATGAATCTACCTTTATGGAGGCCTCGCAGCACCAGACATTCACGAGTACTTCTGTTCTCGATCCGTTCCGAGCTGATCATTGACCCCGAAACCACACTTTACCCTGTACTGCGGTGCATTGTGCAAAGTTTCAACAAACTGAGTGACTTGGGTCTATCTGATGGCACTCGATGCTTAGTCAGTGAGATACGGGGCGACCAGGCCTTTTTCAGATACATGCTGCAGCACAAAGCTTATTGGGTGGGAAACCATGTGTGTTTCAGATGCAAAGCATCAACGGGGGGAGTCAATGACTACACTGACTTTTCGGCTGGTGCGGGGTGGCGCAACACAAAAAGAAACACAGCAGAGTTTATAGCGGACCAATTGCCAGTCCCACTTTGCAACATGGCTACCTGATTTGAACCTTTTCAATTTTCATTTGTTCTTTTCAGGCTGATCTTGACCCGTGCCTCGCACAAATAATAACATTCAGCGGTCCCAGGCCCGTGGATTTTTCTTCGGCACTTCCATGTGGACCTCTTGAAGCACTGCACACTTCATATTTTGAATTTGGGCCTTGTAGCCACAGCAAATGGTGGAGCATTGTAACTAATCCCTGCCTGCCTAGCAATGTTTTCCTTTTTTTTTGCGTTATCCGATTCGTGATTAAAACCCTGGATCAATCCCTTCCAAACCTGTTCCCAGGGCCGCATGCCTGGCAAGCTGATCCATGCCATTCGTTCTCGTAGAGGTGCATGGTCAGACCTAGAAACATGTGCACCGAAGCGTCCAAGGTCCATGCTATTGCGAATGCAAGCATTTGACTCTTTGCAGTCCGCCTATGACGACTTCGATGCCTACACCAAACAAGAAAAGTTGCCACATTCCCAGAGGCGATTTACACACCGCATGCTTTATAAAAAAGTCCATGGAGCATACCTTGCCTCAAAGGGATGGAATGCTAGGATCCTTTGCGAGTGGTTGCGCGATGCTGTCAACCGGGTAGCATTGAACCAACCAACGGAGGCTCCAAGGAAGTTGAAAATGGTACCCGCTGTTGATCAATGCTTGAGGGATACCTGCATTGCCATGCGTCCCGTCCCAAATCTCGAGAATGTATGTGTTTTTTTGGTTCGACCAGTAATGATCGTGGTAATGTTCAAAGCTCCTCGAACTTCAAGCGAACAAGGACTGCACTTTGCAGATACTTCAACTTGTCTGAGCGCGCGGCTCGCTACTTGTCACTTGGACAGCCCAGGGTCCATGGCCCAAAGCATGCAAGGCTTCAGGTCGTGTGTACTAGCTACTATAGCTAATAGTGGATCGATGTATCTTTCGGGGCAGGCCCTACTTGTTTCTAAGCTCGACTGAGGACACCTGAGCAAGCACAGCATATTAGCAAAGCAGGGTTCATCTTCTTGCGTCAGCACCGTGTTCTCACAGCGCACTCTATCAGGACGACCATAGCCAGTAGATCAAAAATATTATATCCTGACACCGGTCGCGCTCAATAGCTGTAGAACCCTGGAGGATGGGCGATGTAAGCTGGATCATGGTCCCAAAAGCGCATGCTTCATGGCAGCGCTGATTCTGCAACTTTTCTATTTGTTCCACTGTAGTGGGTCTATGGGTTTTAAAACTTTGTAGGTGGACCTGGCACTAGCAAACTAGGCTTTCCAACATGCATTGCTGGATGTGGTATTGGGACAACGAACCTTGGAGTCCAGTTGATTTTGAGATCTTTGAGTCCTACCTGACAGCAAGATCGTGTTTTTTTTGCTTTCCTTTGGGGACCCCTGTAGGTTTCTAACCTTTGAAACACGATTTGGAACTATTTCACAGATAAAAACATAAATCGTGGGGTGGCAACCAAGGATTGAACCTGCGCTACATGCATACCTTTCAGGACGAAGATGGAATGAAGTTGCTGAAGGCTGTTAGCCGGCGGCAATACAAAAAAAAATGGAAGTTGGCAATGTTCGTGTTTCACGAGTTCGACTTTTAGTTACCAAGCTGAAAGTTTCGACGATCAACAAGTCTGCCAAAGGCAGATAAGCATGGATCGCTGCACGAAATGCTTGAACTCGAGCAAAAACATGGAAAAGGAGTGAGTTCAAAGATGTCACAGACCGTGAGATTGGCGTGAAGTAGCAAAGACGTCTGGCGCATGAGTAACTCATGTCTTTGGAGGGTCTGGGGATTGTTAGATGTTAGGCTGCCCAGTACGCTTGTGCTGAGTCATGATGAGATGGAAGTGCGGAAAACATCCACTCTTACTGGTAATGATGTACCATGATATACCTAAACTAGACTTCATACTTTGGAGTCATGGTACCTTTGCAGGACTGCCCGGGGGGGACAGGTTGATGAAACTGGGCACAGTTTGCCGCACCACTCGGGTCGCGTCAATCGGGTCGCTGACACGATTTTTTCCGCCAGGAGATGTGGAGAAATGGTCTTCCGGGAAGGCCATGGGCCGAACTCCATGGTTGGGTCTTGGCCGAATCTCCAAAACTGTTATTGCCCACACACGACTTAGTGGGACTGGCATATGAAATCCTACATTGCCCCTACCCCAATGTTATATTATGTTATATTCCATACATGGAGTCTTGGGTGATTGCCACAGTTTTTTGCGGAAAGTACGAATACCAGATGATAATTTGTATATTGTATTTTTGTTGATGCCTCACCCATCGCCCTATCATCGACCATGGAATCCTTGATCAGCAGGTCCAGTAGTCATTGGCAATGAATGTTCAGGTCAAAAATAGCACCAGCAACATCCAACAACCCGAAACAACGCCCAGCAATCACGTTGTTGTTGTTGTTGTTCTTTGTTTGGCCCAACCGGCTCGGTCGCCTTGGAGTGAACCCCCAACGACGACCCCAACGACGGTGGGAACGTGGTGGACGAACGTGGCACGACGCAGGGGAGATGGCCTCCCAGTGCTTCGTGGTGGCTCAGGGAGAGATGGCCCAGTCCAAAGAAGGTGCGCCGATCACTGGGCACCGGTCGAGTCGGGTCCGGTTGGGTCGAGCGTCGGACCGGTTGAGGTGGAGCGAAAGGGATCCAAAAAAGCGTGGCAGATGGAGAGTAGTGGACCATAGGCCTCAGAGGATCTCAGAGGGGTGTTTTTCTTTTGGAGATCCTCAGGTCGTGTAGTGCAGCGAAGAGATGCCGCTTGGAAGGTTCTGAGATGCTGAGGGAGAGTTAGAACTAATTGAAGGTAATGTTCTATTTTGGGGCGCGCGTATTATATGATGAAGGTCATGAGGTATTCTAGCTCCAAGTCCTGGGTTGAGATAAGAACCGTGGAACAGTGGTCCTCATCCTGAACACACTCCTTTTTTTTGGAGCAGTGGTGTCTCCTTTGTTGTCTTGGTCATTGTGATACTTGATGTTCCTAGCAGCTTTGCAGATCAACGCAGAATAGACACAGAATACCTAGGACTGCCCTCCCACAAACCAACTGTACAGTGGCTTCAGAGTAGATGGCACAGTCCCCGATGTGGGGTTAATATGGACCCCCAAAAGACATGTGGAGGTTTGTGCCATCTATATACTGTAAAACCTATAGAAGAGCGCTGAAATCATGAACTGAGCCAAGACGACGACGGACCAAACTTTTGATCAAGATGATCAAGTTGGTTCTTGGAAGACTCATTGTCTAGATGGAGCTACAGCTGATTACAGCTGTGTGTTTCAAGTGTGTGTGTGTGTGTGTGTTTGTTGAGCTATGTTAAGCTTATCCAATTATATCATTGAAAGGTGCCTATGCGGAAGTCATCGACTGCACCATCATGTTCGTGTGATCTTCTCGTTACGGTCCTTGCTTACTCATCAGTAGGGAAGCAAAGGTTCAGATCTTCTTGCAGGTGTCCCTGGTTCACCCCCAATATATGGTTCAGACACTTCATGGGACTTGCATGTTTACCTACATTGACCCCGTTTCAACCGCTCCGTTTATGCCGGCCTCCAAGCTTCATGTTTTTGGCTGACCCGGGTCGCTTCAACCCTTGATTCTATCCCAGGCACTCCATGGGACTGGCTTATTCGCCTATGGGGCCCATGGGGTAGTTGTCAAGGGTCGATTGTAGCCATACACTTCAGGAGGAGAAGAGTTAGAAAGCTTCGTTTACCGGGTCGTACGCTCCATCTATGTGAATCAGCCGCTTTTTTGAATTAAGACGTCCATGACTCGCGTGGCCAGTGTGGGATGGTCAATTAGCACAGCCTTGGACGGAGGACATTCGACCATGTGAGGCGCGTCTTGCAGGATTCAACGTCGGAAGGGCCGGAAAAGGGTTGTTCATTGGAACCTTCAAGAAGAACACCTTTTTATGTCCCAGTGGCCACTGGTGTCCCACAAAAAGCGGCTTGTACATGGAGTGTTATATTGCATGTCATAGGGCATGGCCCCTGCCCGGTCGACCCGGGTCGTCTCAAGGCCGGGTGATGCGCACCTTGGGAGCTTTCAGCAGCTTCGGCGAGCAAGAGTTCCCTGGCCATCGACCAGATGACGTCGGGCTTGCTGTGTGTTTTTTCAGAACAAAAACCACTCGTTGGCATCTCCTGGAGGGGCTGGAGGGCTGGAGTTGCAGCCTGTAATAGTACTGAAACTCTATAGCTATATGCCAGCAGTTCGGATGATAGGGGTAGCCGGGGTATCCATGATCTAGTCTATGTTTAGGTCCCAAGCCGGGACACTTCAGTGGTTACTTCTGTTTGTGTTTTTTGACTCCAAACCTACATAACAGTGTCTCCAATCACCTAACCTGAGAAGGTACTTAGACCCCTAGGGCCTTAGGGTTCATTTTGTGGATCCAAATGAAATCCCTCATTCCCTACTAAGATCGACTAATATGCAGGAATGTGTCCACAATATGTACTCTCAATTGTTCGGAACAACCATGTTGTTTTGTTTCTTTTGTTGGGGGGTTGCAGATTCACCCCCGTTCCCCCGTTTCCTGCGTACCGTAGACTTTGTTGTTTGCCTGTTGATATCTCAGAACGGTTGGCGTTCTACCACCTGGAGTCTCAAAGTACCGCGCAAAATGGGTACAAGTAAATACGTGTTTCTATAGGGTCATGTCCCATTTTCTAGGGTGTCCAGATGGTGTCCAGGTGTGACCGTTGAAAACCCCTGACTTGTTTAGTAAAACTTCCATTTAGATGGTATTAAAACCTAATAAGGACCTCTTCGTGCGTTTTTGTTTAAAAATAGAAAACCAAGAGTCTATGTTTCCTAGGGCTCCTGTCCCATATCCTCAGGTTCGGTGGTTAGACCCCCCTGGCACCCACCCCAACCACCTTGTCAGGAGGTAGTTGGAGCCCTAGGGATCAATGTACGTTCCAATCAGCCCATGGAGTGTTTTGGTCTTGGCCTTATCCTGCGGGGCTGATCGACGCATCGCTTGGTTGTGATGAAAAGCTCCGATGCTGACGCTTTCTTCGACGAAGCACCCTGTTCTGCGAGATGGAGAGTAGGCAGAAGAGGAAGATAAGACAAAGATAGAGAACGGTTTATTAAATTCCTAGGACTTCTAAAATTTGTGTGAATTGTTACATCAATCTCTGTGATTTGCTCAGACATGCTCAGACTTTCACGAAGTTGCCAAAAGCTCTGCATGTGCTTTTCGATGAATCGGACGTGCGTGATATGACAGACGCCACTGCCGGTTCCAGCGTTTCAAGCGATCGCCGAAGCATTTTGTGTTGCATTCCCATCCCCAGAAGTAGGGACTTGTTGTCGTTGTTGTTTGTTTGTTAGTGGAAGATGTTGTAAGATACAACAACATGAGCTAATCCACCCTGGCGCCAGGCGCCTTTACACCTCCTTCACTGTCATGTCAGCACTGACCCGTACCGGGTTGCCGGAAGTGGGAAGAGAGCCTAAACGGTACACCGGCACGGACTCGTGGCCACCGTGGTGGCGTCATCTGTGGCGATCGGAGAGACCAGATTCTCACTCTCTAGGGCTGACAGGTCCCGTATCCTCAGGTGACCGGTGGTATTCGAACCCCCCAAGACCACCCACCCCTGTCCCACACCAAAACGGAGGTAGGCCTGGAGCCCGGGGGACTGAGCCAGTGCTTAGCCGACGATGATCAAGTCTGTGTGGACGGACTATGCTTAGTCGAGACCAAGAAATGGGTTCAAAGATGCTCAAGGCATTGGACATCCCCTTCCTATTGCCCTTTGCATGTTTGATTCAGTGCTGCACTCTGGGCATAGCGCAATTATATAACGTCAATCAACTATCGGATTGTTCCCGGTCAATCTTTTTGCAGGTGGACACTTTTGGTTGTGTGTTGTGACAGGCTCGTGTATTTTTTCTGTTGTTGTTTTTTGTGTTTTGGTCGCGTGTTGTGGCAGACCCAGGTTGCTCAGCCAACTCCCAAGAAACTTCTCGGTTTCTTGCAAGACAGCACACCTGGCATGTTTCTTCGCAAGACGTGGCACGTGGGTTTTGCAGCGATTCCATACCCGGGATGTCCCAGACACATGGGGCTTCGGGCTGCATAAACCGTTATATAAACTTAGGGGATTGTGCCATCTACTCCATCTACTCTGAAACTAATAATTGTACCAGGGCACGGGCTCCCAACCCTGGAACGAGGAGACCCGGCAGTGAGGATGCAGACATTATGTATGCATTAGTATGACTGACAATAGAGTTATGACATAATTTTGCGGAATCAGGATACCTTTTCTTGTGTAATCATCCACCACGAGCGGGCCACCTAAGCTAGAGATAATTTAGCATGTTGGGACGCGGGAGACTTCTGGTGAATTGCCAGTCGGCTTTGCTGGTCCTGGTGATTTTCGTCTGGAACAACTGACACTTGCACCGCTGGAGAGTCACCCGTGGTCCCGGATGTCGACTGCTCAGGATCCTTTGTTTTTATGCGCACAACTCGACCTGGACCTGACTTCGGCCGTATCCCAGAAAATGGAACATGACCTGAACCAAAAGCATGTAAAAGTCTTCTCAAAGTACCTGTTTTGGGTTTGGGTCATGTCGAATTTTCTAGGGGACGACCATGGGTATTTTTTAGATGCGCACGGTATTTAAATAGGTCCTTAAGCCTTAAGCCAAGTTTCAACAAGGCTGAACCAGTAGTCAGTCGTTTGTTGTTTTTCAAAGCCTTCTGGTGAAGCTACTGCTGTTTTTTGCGCTCGATGCATCTCTGCACACAAGAACTCAACCCACAAAGCCGAATCTTAAAGAGGAGGATTTCACAGCTGTCCGGCTGAAGAACGGCACCGAATTCGGCACGCCCACTGTACTGACTGCGGGCGCTCCATCGCTAGATTTTGCTCGCGAAGCGTTCGCGGGTTGGGCGTGTTGGGCCTTCTGCTTTTCCAGCCATGGTGTTTGGGCCTGAGTTGGTGTCAAGAGCTGCATGGACAGCAATAGCAATGCTGTCCACATGGGTGGAGGCCGTGGAGGTCTCGCCCATTGTGCCGCTGAGCTGAGAGTCTTTGTTCTTTTTTGGCGGTGGTTCTCTTCTGCATGTTGAAGCAGGGTTGAACTGTGTGTATTTTCTTCTTGCAATTGTTCGGCACTACCCGGAATCCCTACAAGTCAGAAACAAATGGACAGTGGACCCTTCCTGGGTTCCAGACTCAGTACAATGGACTCATCAAATGAACTTACCGCTGTTAATGGATTGCCCCAAAGCCTCTTGTCGACCTGGATGATCCGGGATGATCTCAATCTCATCTCCGAACAGCAATCGATGCCGGGCAGCTAACTCCTGAAAACCGAGGTTCTCGGGCACCATCAATCCGCGCTTGAATCTGACGGTCTCACAGACAGAGGCGGGTGCAGGGGGGCCGTGCCCGCTGAGTTCATGTCATCCGAAGTCGGCGGCGGGCGCCCATGGGCCCCAAGTACGGTGATGGCTTCAGCCATCAACCAGAGGCGGAGATAGATCTAGATGAAGTGCAGAGTTGGGGAAGAAAACACAATTGGTCGATTCAATTCTTAGAAAGTACCGGGGGGAAGGCTGGGCAGACGTGCTTGGCCCGGCCCTGTGCGGCCGCCCTGTGCCGGACAGGTCTTGAGGAGAAAAATGGGCCGCTATGCGAAGCCGGGTCCACGAACTCGGACGGTGGCCTGGCAGGCAGTTTTTTTCGGACCACTTTTGTTTTCCTGTGTCAATGGTGATCCATATCTGGTGACCCATATATCTGGTGACCCATATCTGGTGATCCCTTTTCTGGTGAAGAGTGTCCCTTTATTTAGATCTGTTCTTTTTGGTTCCTCAAGCACATCCAAGGTGGGCTACCGAGGATTTCGCCTCGGAGAAGACATTCTACGGGGCTGTGACTCAGTCGTTGCGGTCTCACGGGGCTGTGTGGACATGATCCATTTTCACCCAGGTTGCATGGGGTGTTTGGGGTGGGTTTAGAGGTTCCAAGTACCTTCTGAGGAGGTACGACTGGAGCCTTAGGGTTGTACTGAAAATGTGAGGAATTAGAAATTACGCCGTTAGGATCCGTTGGGAGTTTTGCAGGTGATGTTACAGCAACCAGCTAACAACCTTAACGAGGTGCTAGGCGTTGTGTTTCACTGACCTAAACCTTCTAACAATTTGTTGCCTTCAGGATGTATACATCGTCAACAAAACGTGTCGGAACACTTGACTTCACCGGCATTTGGCTTGCGATGCGGTCCGTCACGGTCATGAAGGTCATGCGTTTCATCTTGTCGGTGCGAAACGTGGTGAGTACAACAAGCACAAGAGCTCCACGGTGCTTTGCCAGGCTCTAGGGATTTTTGACCACACGTGGCTCAACCATGTTTGTCAAGAATCTTACGAACGCGAACACGCAAATGATGCAGGACCATAGAACCATAGAAGTTCATAGAAGCATGATCTCATGAAGCTTTAGTAGCCCCATATCTCCATCCCTTTCTAAACAATGTATTGGACGATCCTATCCCGTCCCAAAACGTCATCCCTCCTACCCGTGACCCTCGGGACCCGTGTGTGGATCCGTCTCTCATCCGTCTCTCACTGTGTGTGGATCGCAGTTTGGAGGCCCTCGTGTGGTTCCAAAGACCCAAATGGTCCGCCAGCTCGAAAAAGGTCTCCGAGTCTCGGAGGCTGTTTCATGCAGACTTGAAGCAGTGGCAGGTGGTGACCTGTTGGAGGGTCCTGGTATAGATCGATAGACCCTTTGAAACCCTGGAGCCTTAATGGATTCTATCATGACATACATTGACATACCGTGACTTAGCTCATTGAGATCCACGCCGGGTGAGGCAAGGAAGCTGAAGTCTATTTACTGGATCTCTTCAGACCTCACTTGCCAGTCGCTTGGATCACTACAGATTCCGTTCCGCCGCAGCTGTGCTCCAGTGGGCTGTTGTGCTTGAGCACAGCTTTCAGGCTGTGGTGCTTGACCACATGGAGCAGGAGATTTCTGCAGATCATGTGGGTGACATGGCCAGAGATGTGCAGGAGTGTTGGAAGATTCTATGTTACTGGAAGTTTCAGTGCAGGAGGGCCGGCTATTCTTTGAGCGCCCGGTGTAAGTGAATGGAAGACCTGCTCTCCAATACTTCGGCTGGCAATTCGTGTTGAATTGAAACATGGTGGTGACAATGCGACTTGTTCCCTACTCATACGGATTGATTTGGAACATGTTGGAACATGTTCCTTCACATCTGGTTCTTCACCAGCCAAACCCATCAACTTCAGCCGTGGCAAGCCCGGGATGAACCACCGGCTGAAGTGCGGTCGTGCGCGGCGAGTTGAGTACGGCGAGGTGGACACCGAACGAAAGAACCCAACGGTTTCCCTGGTGAACCGGGCGGTTTCCCCGGGCGATGTGGGCGTTTTCTCAAACTGGGTACATCCCCTAGATCAAGAATGTGAGAACTGGCACGACTGGAACCAGCTCTTTGGAATCGATAGGGAGCTGTAAAATGCTGTAACTGCAACTGGAAAAGCATTGAATCCTTTTCTCAGCGCAGGTCAAAGCAGGGTTTTCTGCCGTTTTCTCCAGCATGTTAGAGCGTGGTTCTCCGTCTTCTCGAGTCATCAGTCTTGAAAGACGCGAGGTGAACTGGATTTGCCGGACCGAAGCTTCGTGCCCGACAGTGGTGCGAATTGCTCTCATGAGGTGCGACGAGTCGCACTCCGCAGGTCAGGGCGACTCGGACAGCTATGAAACCCCATTATGAATCAATGTACTCACTGCCAGTGGCTGACCTTGAAGCATTTTAAGAAGGCTTGAAGAATTCTTTGTGTAAGGGAAACTATGATGGGAGTCAATCTTGGACCCAAACACTTCCACCAATCGAATGATTCCTTCCTCCCCCCGAGCTCGGTCCGAGTCCTTTCTATTGAAGATCGCCCTTTGGCTAGCAGTGCAACTTCTGCCTGTTTATCATCCCGCTCGTGGACTCTCGTGGACTTCATCAAGGGTTCCCATCCCACTGCGAAGAAATGAGACCTTCATCAAAACGAAAGAAAAACAAACACCGCGCCGTGAACCTCCCATTCCTGCAGGTCCTCCCGCACCGCCCGGGGAGTCGGAGCGCACCTCGCCGCGACTCGCGACCGGGTCATGAGGGTTTGGTCGCTCTACGTCAGGTGGGCCCAGACTCCGTTCCAATCTATGATCCGCAGAAGCTTGGCAGAGAGTGCCAGCTCAGGGGTGGGTGAACCTTCAGGGAGTAGTGATCATATGTGATCATGCACCTTCGGCCGAAAAGCGGGCAAAAAGGGTGTGGTTCACACACCCATCACCATTTGCATGTATGGTCTTTGGAATTGGTACCGCCAGGAGCCCGCCATACCTGCAGCCATGGGAGTTCCGGAAATCGCACTTCTTTTTCAACACTACTTGCACTCACGGGGTGTTGATATGGGGGTTGACCAAACACGTGGGGTTTCTCACCAATCCCTATAGGTTTTGAGGGACCGGTCGGGCTGTGAACGGAGCGTCTGGCAGCGTCTGGCAGCGTCTGGCAGCGTCTGGCGTCTGGGTGATTCAACTGTTTTGGCCAAGCGCTGCCGCTGCGGGCCAGGAAGGATGATGCTGGATGCTTTGTGACGCATCAATCAGAGTTGCTCAGCTGAGCTGCTAGACAGTTGCGATTCTTGCGATCAAGCTGTGTTGAAGTTGGACTATAGTAGTGTGAAGGTTTGCACATCAATTGGTTTGCGGTTTACTTCGGAAGGAGGGTCAGGAGTCAGGCAAATTGTTCAATTTCCCTACTGAACACGGAGCCAGTAGTGGTCCGCTGCGGGTTCAGCCTTTTGAGCGATGTCAACTGGTTTTGCAGCTTTCCTGTGTTGCCGCAGTTGAGCGGTGTTCTCGGTTCTCATCGCGATCGTTGATAGATTACCCTGGGAATCTTGGCCCACCATTGATTTAAGGAATTGAATGGGTTGATTCCCGAACAACACTAGTTTTACTATAGAAATGTTTAGGCTACAAGATCCCAGCTCAACCATTATGTACATGGTCTAGTTATGTCTAGCTTGTATCACTAATAGTTGCCAATTCTTAGGGTTATAATCTATGTAATTATATTGGGTCTGTTATATTGCCTGTAACAGTCAGTAAACAACTACCACTATTTTTGAACAAGGCCTTTAGTAACCATCATCATCCACTGTTACTGGCACTAGGGAGACCCAATAAATACATATATATATATATTATATATATACACCTGCAACCTCGTGGTTGCGTTTTTTGTCGGTAATTCAACATATAATGCTTCGAAACACCATCCGCTGAACAAAAACAGGTTCGGGAAAAGCACCGGTGGCTCACCAATCAAATGCCCAGAGTCTGTGTATAAACGCCTGTGGAATATCAATACTCAAGTATAAGGCTGTGAATCCAAAAGGTGTTTGTCATGCCTCAGATCCAAAAAGCACACTCTGAGGAAGTTCCAGTGTTTATCACCAATGGTTGTTTAGGAGTATTAAGTCTGAAATCTATGTCACCAATCCAGACCATCTATGGGACTGGAAATGACTAGAATAGTTACGTAAATTTACCCATATAGATAACTATTGCGTGAATGGTTTGAGAATGGCTCTAAAAAGAACTCCCAGATGTGGCCTTAAGGAACAACTGCTACAACTACGCGACGGACATTTCCACGGAAACTCGGCAGAAGAGTTGCGAAGAGGTGCCAGATTTGAAAGCTCCTGTATTTTCTCCCAAGTTCATGTTCACAAGCAACTGTCATAGTATTGTTTTGTTGAGGTGCCAAATAAACTTCTGATTGTTAGGGTGAGAGATTTGAGTTGTGGGGGGGCAGAAGCTGCAGCACGGCATCTCCTGCCCTGGGCCTTTCCACCACCAGACCTGAACACCGACGCTGACGCGAAGACCACCGGCCGAGGACAGCTTTGCCCAACCGGGACGGGGAACCGGGCACAAGTGGACGGCCAACACCTGTGAGGCAGTGAGAGTCGCTGCAGAGGCTTGGTCGAACACCGTCCTTCTCATCAGTTGCTGCAACCATGGGACTGGCACATTATACATATATATATATATATATGTGCAGGGAGATTGGGTTGGTTGAATGAGGTCAATGTATCGGCATTTGTACTATACTTATACCTGGAACTTCCTCAGTGTTCTTTTTGATCTGCGGCATCTACAAACCATCTTTTGTTCATCACTGCCTTATATGAATGAGTCACTGTCCATGCGGTCCGGTCCGGTCCAAATCGGTCCGTTCCTGCAGACACCACGTGGACTCGGAGCTCCGGAAGATGAAATCATTTGTTGAAGCAAGAAGGACATCATGTATGATGGAGAAGACGCCCCTGAAGATGAACACGAAGCCGAAGAGCGAGTGTTTTTTTTGTTTTTTTTTATTGACCACTCAGATCCATCCTTTCTCTACGAGGAGAGTGATGGCCTCCAATGGGCTGGGACCACATTGCCCACTGCAGCGCCCAAGAGGGGCCATTACGTGGCTTGGGCTCATGAGTTCAAGAACACCTTTAAACTTCAAACTAAATCACACTAGGTGAATCGGGAGGGACACCATACCTGCGACCTCGTGCTCGTGGTTGCTTCTTTTTGGGCGGTAGATTCAGCATACCTTTATTTAGGTCTTTGAACCACAAACATCCGCAACCGAAATAAGCATCTTCTGACAAAATGCGTTCAAGTAAAACGCCGGTAGCTCACCAATACACGTCCATAGCCCCGTAGCTTGTGTATAAGCGCCCGTGGAATATCAGAAAACATCAGAAAACTAGATAAACATCCGCAGACTCAGTATAAGGCTGTGACTTCAAAAGATTGTTTTCACAACGCAGACTTTAACAAAAATAGAACTGAAGAAGTTCCAGGTATGGACACCATCAATCTTGCAAAGAGCAAGTCAAACTGATCAACATGGTGAAGATAATGGACGAGTTGAAACGATGCACGTTCTTTTGACCAACTAAACTAGACTTCACCATGGAAAATAATAGACTCGACAGGATCTTTTCTGGCGCCCACTGTTCTTTGGATTGGCACACTTGCTTTCTGCATGTGTGGTTTTGAAGACAATCTGTGTTAGCATGGCAGCCTGCAAACATGTGCCGGCTGAGGTTGCATTGTTTATCTGGCCGGATACCAACTTCCATTGGATCCGCATGGACAGAACTGGATATTGGAGCCACAAGCCAGGTGGAACACCCGTTCTGAACACTGACGCTTGGACACCAGCTGGGTCACAGCTGCATGCCTGTGGACCATGTACCAAGCATAATTCATCTAACACCATGTTTGCTCCATGGTCTTTATTGTTGCAACCATGTTCAATAAGTAAGCAGTAAGCAATCACCTTTGATGTGTTTTGCTCATGTTGTTTCAATCATTATCAATACGTATTATAACAGTACAATATAAGATATATGAGTACCTCCTGCCCAGCCAATAAACACACATTAGTCCTTGCTGATGCTGCGAAAGGTGACCCTGTGTGATGTGCTGAACTGAGGGCTTTCACGGATTGAACCAGCAAATATGGCAGTCCCAGGGAGAGTATTGGTTCCTCCAAGCAACCCGGATGTATTGGCAGCACGCAGAGACTATGCAACAATGATAAGCAGAAGCCAGGGGCACTACACTCTGTTAAGTTGAAGTTTTATAGATGCTTCAGTAGGCCTCGGTCTCGCTATCAATCCATAGAATTCTAGACCATAGATCCATCAGGATCGATGCAATCCAACACTGAGCAGACTGGAATCCCTCTCTCTCACCACTTCCTTCCACATCTTTCACCACAGACCGACCGGTTTAAGCCACCCGGTCCCACCCGGTCCCACCACCCGAGACGGGAAGCCGAGACCAAGTCCGAGACCGACCAGCTCAGTTGCCGCGCGTCCCCAGGACAACAAAGGGCAGAAGATCCATGACCCGTCGAAGTCGGACTTTTCTCCCTGGACGCAGTTGCTGGGTCTGCGTGGGTCAGCGCGCGTCGAGATGCGGAGATGCGTCGAGCACGAGTTAGGTTGAGTTCGTGGAATCCCCCAAAGCACCGGAACTTCCGAAGCTGGTGAACTGGACCAACTACATTCACCCCGAACTGGAAGGGGGGGGTGTTTTCCAGGTTCCTGGGAGCAAATCCAAGGTTCTGTGGCTACATGCACGTGATCCCCAGTGCTGTGTCGCCCGAGGGCGAGGGCCGTGATCTTGTGTCCCTGGTGGTTTGAGAAGATGGCCCGCCCTTCTGCTGCGAAGCGGTTTTCGGCCACGAAACTTGGTGATTGCGGCGGTTTTAGGGTTGTATGAGAAGTTCGCAAGCTTGGGTTTTGGATCTACTCAGTGAGTCTCGATATTGAGGCTGGTTCGCGCACTAAACCTATCGAATGGTAGGTGCCCTTTGCGAAGTCATTTGGCATGGTAAGAGGCCGTGCACGCTTGTATCTCCATTGGGTTATTCTGGAGTCTCTACCGTATGCACGCTTGTCTCTTCGACCCCTTTGTTCAAAGCCATTCCAACGGAGATCTGAGCAATATGATCTTGTGAAGGGCTTTAGCTTGCTTAGATGCTGAGATGCTGTACATTTGAAGCTGCGAGATGCTAGAGTCATGCTGGGCAACGTGAAAACATGCTATGTGACGGCTTGATTAATTGATGCATGCAAGGTGCTTGGTGACGGTGGAACGGATCCTGCTCAGTTTACAAAGCTCTTTACTGAGGGATCCGTTTGAGCATCAGGCTCAAGGAACCTAGCGGCTTTGACTTTGTTTCTTTTGTTTTCACAATCCCATTTGTTGCATGAAACTCTTGAGAGCGGGCAATCTGTAAAGTTGTGGTGTTAACATGTGTTGACAGAGGCTTTGACGGTGTTGCAAACCAACGGCTGGCTTGCTCATTGAGCTGACATGAGACTGGAATCCAAAACACTTACATGTTGGTGGTGTAGGTCAAATAGGTCGAGTATATCTTCCATCAATGGGGTCTTAGCTGCTGCCCATTGGCCAGGACACAGCAACATTGATGGCTCGGATGCCCAAGGACGATGAAGTTCTTTGTGGGCAAGCCCGGATTTAGAGTTAAAGGGACTGGATTTATCATGATTTATATATCCAAGTCAGTCTTTGGCAGAGGAATAGGAAGTCCCATGTAAGACCAGCTGATTTTTGCTTGACAAGTTTCGGAAGTCAAGGAATGTGGTTCTTGATTCACTTTTTATCATGTGGGTGTGGCCACAGAGTCAGAGTGCAGTGCAAAGTAATTCCTATATAAGTAACTGTCGCTACTCGAAATCCACAGTGCCTTTTGCATTTGGAATCGTCCAAGGCATCTGAATGTGATTTATATTTTACAAACTTTCCGCGGTTGCCCCTGCCTTGAGTCAACCTAGCTGGTCTAACTTGTAAAGTGGCTTACAACATTTTACAGCTGTGTATATATAACTATATATATGTATATATGTAGTTAATAATTGTTATATTGTGTTAAATGATGTTGACGTCACTATTTGCAATTGCAGCAACTTACGGACAGATTCAGATACACACAGAAGATGAAAGAAGTTCCTGAGCCAAACCTATTGCGCACAGGCCATTGACAAGATGGTCTTCGAGCATGTGGTCAAGGAGTGGCAACAGATCACGAGCTGTGTTCAACACAAATCTGCAAGTGGGGCAACTTGGAGAACACATTGCTGGCGCACAAACCCTTGGGGACTCTATAAGGAACTTCATCTCATGCTCTCAGTATCTTACAGCCTCCAGTACCCTGCAGTCAAGTGAACACACTTCCACCGACCGACTATCCTCAAGAAACTGCCCCCCTTGCCAACAGTTCAACCTCTTCCTTGGCTTGAACAAACCACGGATCCACCTGGGCCACCGGATCCACCACCCCCGGTGACCCTTGGGATCTTGGTTCGGACCCGGGTCACCCAGTCCGACGTGGCGGGCGATGGTTCGCCTTCTGGACATCCGGTGGGCCGGTGGGCGACACAGGAGAGAGTCTTTGCCCAGCTACAGGATCAACTGCAGCTCCGGTACGACCTGGGCGGATGGAATTCGTGGGTTTGCCGTTTTGCGGGAACAAAGGATGTTCATGGTGAGATCGATGTTGCTACCTGGACTTAAGTAACTCACCTGGAGTCGGAAAATGGGCACTAGATGGTTCAAGTAATTAACTGTTGTTATTCTTATATTTTTATGGGGACATTGACATGTTTCATGTTAGAAAGGTACCAGGTACATGCATAATTTAGACTTTAAACTTTAAACCTTAGTGTTTGGATGTTGGACTGAACATCAACCAAGGGTCGAGTAGCTGAAAGTCTTAGTTCACAGGACTTATACAATGGTGTTCCTTACTTCAAGTTCGGGAATGTCAAATCAATGTGAAAGCCCCGATTGGCGATTGATTGGAAGACAAGCTTGTAGTCACATGCAGTTGAGCAAGGGCTTTGATACTCTAGACTCTATAGATGATTCGATTTAAATTGTTTCAACTCCTCAAGGGGTGTAGCGTGCCAGCATGTGCCAGCGGATCATTTCTCAACTTCTGCACCACTTGCGTTCATCATCCGAATTGACGAATTCTTCCAGAACGAGAACTCCTAACAGAGACCTAGTAACAATATAGTAACTAGTAACATTTTCTTGGAGAACGAGACCAAATTCTTTGAATTCGTCAAGAACGACGGTTTCGGCCGCTTGTGTCCAGAGTATGTTTGCAGGCGCGTGGACATCCATTTGGACGACCTCCAAGAGATCTCCACCTTGGGATATGGCACGTATGGCATTGCAGGACCCCTCAGTGAGAGGAGGATCTGGGACTGGACAAGGACCGAAGGACGTGGGTGCTGAAAGGGGGGGGTCCTCAGTTTCTACAGCTCAAACCCAAGCTCAATGAACGTCTATTGATAGCACATTGATTATATAATAGATGTTTTGTGTTTTCTTACTGGGTGGTCCTGTGAATTGCAAGTCAAGAACAAAAGTGGAATGCAAACATATTGTTGTTTCCAATTGGGTGACTTGAGTCAACTAGATATATGTATATATATTATAGCCTACTAGGCCAACCCCATTGGTGTTGTCCACGCGTCTACAATGGGAAACTCTCATGTTCATTCCATGTACTCGTAGTTCCTAGACATTTCATGGGACTGGTATGCCAACATTGGGCTGGTTGGGAGAATGTAGGTACTCGTACTTCCATAGACATGGAGTGGTTGGGTTGATAAAATACTGCATTGTTGCGTTTTCTCAGTAGATGTGAAGTTTCCATCGAAACGAAGCCCCTGAAGCTCCTGGACATATCCCACGCAATGGACCAGAAGAATAGCATACCCAAAGTTCGATAAACAAGCCAAAAAGCCTGGACATTTGGTTCCAACCAACTTCAGAGCTTCAGTGTTTAGGGATGTGCCACCCTGCTTCAGAAGGTAAGACTGAACCCTCGTGGCACCTACATCAAGGTGTCGAACACCGAAAACGCTTGGGATCGGGAAGGTCAACGTGGATCGGGACTCCTTCGGGATGGCTCGAGGATTCAACTGGAGGCTTTCCAACAACAAAACAAAGCTTGTAGAGTGCTGGCAACAGCTTTATTCACCGATTAAACAAAATCAGGCTATCCAACTCTTCGTCTTTTCGTGGAAGTCGACGACGGGGAAAGCCGCGCGGGTACGGCGGGTACGCTCGTTTTTCATCCCAGGTCCGCTTGGTGGAGCATCAATCCACGGGAGCCAGGCGGACATTCGAAGAGTTCGGGTGATGTAATAGGGAGATTGAACTAGTTGGGGTCATGAATTGGGGTCTCCCTATGTTCGGGTGATGTGTGTGTATTGAACTAGGGAGAGCCCAACTAATGTGGGTTTCCTTTATGTTTCTTCTTCCAATGGGTCTTTGAGAGGTCTCTCTATTCTACCACACACACACACATGTGACGTGGGACATTGAGCCTCCACCCCTCCACCTACCATTCCACCTACCGAATGGTTCACAGCTGCTGTGGTGATGTTTAACATCCCCAACTTGTGGCGTCTGGCGGCTAGAGCCATCCATGATCCACGAATGGACCACAAAGGTGCGCAGCTATGAAACCAGCCGTTGGCCGGAGAGTGTGGCCATGAAGCCGGCCCTGGTTTTTTTACCGGGCTTGGACATGATCCCGTTTCACATCCCATGATAAGAAAGGTTGGCCTGGTGTTGCCTGAGGACGATAAAACAATGGGTTGCTCAGTGACTATTGGAGTTCAAGGGCATGTATCTTTGCATCGCATACAAACCTGGAAAGGTCTTCGGCATCCGTCTGAACACACGCCCGTTTCGGGACAGGTACGCCCTGAAGTGCATCAGTCGAAACGAGGCGCCGGACAGGGCGGAAGGGAGCCTTCCTGAAAGGCAAGACCATCCCGGGTGTCTCATTGGACTCATGGTATTTGGCAAAGTCTTAAGTATAGCTGAACATACTATATAATTGGACTCCCAGGGTATATACACCTGGAACCTCACGGTTGCTTTGTTTTGGTCGGTAGTTGAGCAATGTTCAACACACCAACCTTTATTTAGGTCTGTGAACCACATAAACGTCCGCAACCAAAATAAACATCCGCTGAAACGAAACACATTCGGGTAAAACGCTCGTGGCTCACCAATAAACGCCAGTAGCTTGTGTGGAATATAAAAAAAATGTGAACAAAAACTAGAGAAACATCCGCAGACTCACTGTAACTGACTCCCAAGGACCGTTTTCTCGCCGCAGATCTCTAAGAAAACACTGAGGATGTTCCGAGAATAGACACTGGGACTCCCAAGATTCATGTTCCCTCTTTGGGGTGAAGGGAAGATACTTTTTCCTTTAGTTGGGCGAGGCGAAATATATATATAAACATATATTCTTTGGACTTCTAGGCTGTGTAGATATATATATATATATACACATGTTCTATTTTATGACATGAATACATATGTGAGTATATGAGTTGTTTTGTACCAGGTCTTTGGTGAACACGCTTCCAGTTGTTGTTTGGTGCTAGTCGCGCTAGAAAGGCACTGCTCACTTGAAAATCGAATTAAGTTGATATGTTTTTTCCGTCGGACTGAGCTCGTAGCAGACCCGCAGCGGCATGACTGGTTCGCTTCTATAAAACCGGGCTGGCAGTTTGACGGATGGAGGAGGCAATGTTCATCAGAGCCTATAACAAGACGACCATCCTTGGCCTTGGAGACTTGCCAACTTGGACACTGTCAATAGGTCTCAAGACGACCATCCTTGGCCTTGGAGAGTTTTGCCAACTTGGACACTGTCAATAGGTCTTGAGTAATGAAGTTCTCCCTTAAAGAGTTGTGATCAAGAGCTACTCCCCTCAGAGTTTCGTCAAGTCGTTCGCATTTGACTTTAGCACCGTCCCTGGCCCACATCGAGCCTTCAGTGGACGTACCCCGGCACCAATGTGCCCGGACCGCGGCGGACGGTGGACCCTGAGGCGGTGGCCCGGCGGCAGCAAGCCAGCATTTGCGCCGAGCGTGAGATTCTGACCGATGTGGTCGGGCACTCAGGAGGGCCCTGGATCGAATGAGCCAACGGCTTCGTCGACTGGAAGCCACTGGGCCGGGTAGGTTGGTAGGTTGGTAGAACTTGGTTAAGATGTTTGGATTCAGATCAACGCAATGCAGGCTTTCAAACCCTTGGCTCAGAAGCTCAGCTCCGTCCTCTCTCCGTCCTCTCACTCACCTGCGCACCCGAATGCGAAACCAACCTCACTCAAACCCAGGCCCCTCCCCCCCCTTTCCCCATTTAAACCCCCAGTTTTTGTCCGTGTCGCCCCCCCGTTTCGGTTTCGTTGACCCCGAGCGGAGCTGTGGTCCGGTTTTTTAGGATCACCCTTTCATCCTCAAGCTGGTGCGGACCTTCAAGGACCACAGGCGACGGGCGAGAGACCTCGACCGGACGACGGCGACGCGTGGACGCGGACTCTTCGACGCCTGCTTTGTGGAACCTTTGTGGCCGGAGCCTTTGAGTGTTTGGAAGAACATGGCACCACACGCCGCAAGTGGGTGGGGGATAATTGTGTGTTGCGAAATTCTTCCGGACACTGACACAAACCACTGGCAGCCAGAAGTTGCCACCCCTTTGGTTTCTCCTTGTTTTTAGGACAATGACTGTCGTGCGTCACGTCGCTCAGGCAATCGAAGCTGACGCGTCGACGCAGACGGTCAACCGGTTGCTTAGGCCCTATACTTTCCCGTAATACGGTCGAGGTCCAAGCACATCGTCAGAAGGTGGATGTTCAACCCCTGGCATGGCACCAGCCCAAGCATCTTCTTTTCGGATGTGGGACAGGAGCCCTAGGTTTTGTGAACACCTGGTCAACCTCCTGGCACCATGTCGGTATGTTCACTGTCTCTTCGTCTTGCCCTTTTGCTCGACCACTTGTAGAAAATGGATGCTGGGCAGGTCTGTGATTGCTTTCAGCAACCCCTGACCTGTAAAAGTATGTAAAAAAAAATAAAAACTTTGTATACTTTTGTAAATTTCTTAGTATAGTACAACAATGATTGCTTAGAAAAGAAACGCATTAAATCAATGGTAGTTGGAATCCTAGGAAAGAGATACATGTAGACGATCTCTGGGTTAGGATGTGGGACACCTTAGTGTTTCCAAATATCATTCTACAGATTTCTACAGCACATTTGAATACCTAGTCTCAATATGTAAGGCTCTGCACTTGAGACTAGAAGAAAAAGAAGTTCTTGCAGCACTTCCCTCTTTAAAACATTTTAAAACTACAGCTGCCCGAATGGGTGAATGCCATGGGCATCCCTGAAATCGTGCAGAATCTTCGAGAGAGCTTAGCAAACTGGCCACCGGCCTTGCAGCGATCCTGGCGATCGACAGCGTCGACCTGCGGAGTAGGAGCCACACTGGCGTCGACGCGAGAGAGGACGACCTTCCGCGTGCTGTCCTTGAATTTGTTGGCGGAATGCAAGCAAAAAGAGGAGGGATGGAGACTCAGTCTGTTGAATACGTACTTTATATTTTTGGCTTTCACATTTGATTGTTTGAGATCATACTTGTGTATATCAATCAAATATATATATATATATTATATATATATATTTAGTGTTCATGAGCATGAAGAGCTTTTTGTTGACTCTACCGTGTTGATTAGACCAGTTTCCAAGAGTGATCCAAGAATCACTTTAAACGCGAATGAGTGAATGAAACTGCTTTTTGGAAGTATGTTGAAGCTTATGTCCAATACATATTTGCTCCTCATACCTTCCCCTAAATGAGGGAGTGAGTGGAAGTGAAGGACGGATCTATATACCAACACCCTCACTACCAGGTCACCACCTGCCACTTCAACAAGTCTCCATTTCAGCCTGTCAGAGACCTTATTTGTTCGTTTTCTCGTGTGCTGGTGTAGATCAGTCCTCCACTCCCCTAGAAGCCTCGAACGCCCGAGGCTTCCAGCTGCGCAGGAGGCTCTGCGAGACTGGACGCCGCGGAGGCGGCGCTTGCTGGAACTTCTGCTGCAGGAGGAGGCGGAGACTTGGAGGTGACGGAGAACAACGGGTGATGAGGGGGGTACGCGCGCGGTCTACGCGAACAGGGGACGGGTTTTGGAGCGTGAGCAAATCAAAGAACATCACGTTAAAACAACAAAAAGCCACGAAGAAGAAGGAGAAGAAGAAGAAGAAGAACAACAACAACAACAAGAAAAGGTATTCCAGATTCTTGAGCCCATCATTATTCTTCAGTTATTTGCAGAGGGCTTTGGTCTTTGGAAGTTGAGCCAGGGATTCTGAGGATATTCGATCCATCGCTTCCATCGCTGCCATTGGGTTGAGAGGAGTGAACGGAGGGGGTTTCCACTACGGTACTCGAGGGCAGGAGGTGTGACTCATGGAAGGTGCGGAGACTGTTGCTTAGGGATGATCGAAACTGGGGAAGATGTTGAAACATGTTGTTCGGCTTCCTGGACAGGAAATCGGAGCTTGAGAGCTGACTTGACTGGGTTGGCTCTTAAAGAGCTTTACTGCCGAGTCTGTCGGCTGTTTTGTTCTTGAGGTGCTTGAAGGGACGGCTTGGCATTGTCCTTCGCACCAGCTTCTGAAGTGGGCAATGGCCAGAAGAAAGAGATAAGGAGGCACATAAGGTGCTATGGGTAGAACCAACTACCAATCGTTTACGAGACAAGGTTACTCTGTATACAACTCTTACTCTTCTGTGTCTACCCAACCACCACCGCTATTGCAGCTTGCGGAATCACGTTGATTCCAAGGTGACATGTGCATAGTCACTGACAATCACTGACACACATAAATATATATAATCCTAGAACCTCATTGACCCCTGTTTTGGAGACCAAACATGGTTTTTTCATATCAAAAAGCAGGTCAACTCCTGAATTCCTGTCCGGTGCATTCAGGATCTCATCTTCTTGCAGGAGCTGGATGTCGATGGAAAAGAGTCAGCCCTTTGTCCTGAGCTTCGGGAAGCAGGCTACTCTGCAGCTGGGCCAAAGATGCGCGATCCGGAGATCCGGTGGGTGACCACGTGTCCGAAGAGATTTGGCCATTTGACCCTGAAAAGCAGCTTGACCCGATGTGACCCAATGAGTCTCGCTTGGACTTAAGAGCATCCACGTTGGATACAGGATCGCCCACCAGGTTCAGGCAGAGTTGTTTGTCTGAAAAGCACGGAGGATTACCAGGATCGCTCTGGCTCTGAAAACCGGGGGACCATGGCGGACGATGGCGGTCGCTCCGACCTGGTGTTTACAACGCACCATGGATTGAGTACCAAACAATGGACACCGTGTTGGCCGTGAGGGACGCAAGATTTTCCTTTGGGTTCTGTCCTTTCAGGGCACGTGTCATGTATCCAACCTCTAGGAAGGGGCTACCCCCAAAAAGGCACATGTCTAGAAGGGGCCGAAATGTGCGGTGCGTATTTGCGGAGCGTCCGCAAGTGAGAGACCGAACGACCATTGACTGGTATTTCTAATTATAAGGATCGCGTTTAGACAACAGGTCAACTATTTTTTGACATGTTCTTGGGATGGCTGGGGCGTACAGACATCTCCCATCTTCACAACGCAGTGACCAGAACTTGTGACTCCTAGACCATCTTCGACCTAGGAAACAAGATGTGTGTTTGGACGTGAGCAGAGCTTATAGACCCAAGCAAGAAAGGACGATTGGAAACTGCGTTCCCCAGAGCCCCCCAAGCTGCTAAAAAGCCAGCCAAAGTCAAACTGATGCTTGGATTCATTGGTCAACTCAGGGTGCATATATATATATATATGAGATAAAGAAGACGATAAGAACAGACACTGGAAGCGATGAACATCGCATCTACTTTTTTTGGTTACAGGGACATTGGGCATCATGGGTACATTGAATTATTGAACACTAAAGACACAGTTGATGAGATCCTGATTTTGCAGATCTGGCCCAGATCGGTCTTGAATTAGGATCGTTCTTTTCCCGAACTGACTGAACTGACTGATATTACCCCGAAACTGGTGAAGATTGGTTTTATTTGATGTTCACTTTTGGTCCGGGCTTGGACAGCAATTCCAAGAGCTTCCGTGGACTCGGGGACACCTCGCTTCAGCCAGCTTCTTGGACCCCGACATACCCCGAGGTCATAAATCCCAATTGCAGGTCTATGGTCCCGTAGGATATCCAAGAGGATATCCTACCCAGCTGACTGGGTTTAGCTTTATACACTTTCACGGTCATAGTAGATGGATGAAGTGCCTTTCTTCGGTGGGGGAGTAGTGAATAGTAGATGGATGAAGGTCATCTTTTGTGGGGGAGGATTGGTTTCCCCACTCAAAATAACGCCTGTTGACAAAGGTGTTGTTTGTTTGCTATAGGGAAACTAACACACAGTTCCAATCGAATACCTTTTTGTTCGGGAGATGGGGGTGGTTCACAACCTACAAAGGTTCTTCGGAACTCTGTGGCCCACCTGTGGCTTATGAAGCCCCAAATTGGGGATCAATGTAAGGTCATAAGCTCTCTTGCCCTATGGATCCACATACCCTCTGGGAGGGTGTTCGACACCTCTTGATGTAGGTGTGAGCAGGGTTGCAGGGTCCAGTCGTACCGAGAAGGTAGCAGTGGCTCCCTCGGGATGAAGACCTGCTAGGCCATCTTGGGCGATGCAACGAGCGATTGCCCGGCCACCGCGGTCTTTGTGCGGAACAAGCGCTTTGCAGTGCTTCAACAGGTGAATCAGGACAGGGTTGTAGTAATCAGTGACCATCCACTAACGGGCCCACCAACAACATGCTTTTTCACCATCAACAGCCCACCAACAAAGTGACCAGTCCGCTGAAAAAGCAGTTTGGCTATGTTTGGCTTGGTCCTTGTTTATTACTGGATTCCTGGATTGCTATGACTGATATTCAAAGGCTTCAGGTTGGGACCCTGAAGGATGGTGGAACCATGGCAGCGGCTCGACCAAAACACGTCAGCTCGGCTCGGATCAGATGGACCTGGCAGGGATTGCTTCAACATATCGGTCGGTCTTGCAGGATGCTCTTCGCCGGTACCCGGCAGGTCACCCCGATCTTGCTCGGAGTCATTTCGCGCGCGCGACAACGTCCGGCTCTCTCGCCGAGGTCCTGTGCCACCACGCGGTAGGTCATGCGGGTGGGTCCGGGGCGACCTTGGGCGTGTGTAGCGCTCACTTGAGCAGCGGCAAAACACCTGATGCGGAGGAAGTCAGGGCCCAACAGGTCACCAAGTTGTTAGAGCCTTGGACCGGAGGAAGCCGAAGGGTTGGCGGGTTCGGGACTGGCTTTTGGGCTGGCGACCAGAGAATGTTTGACCTGATGTTTGGTGTCATGTTGGCAAATACTTTGGTATGGATCTTGGTATCAAAGCAAGGGTCTCCAGTGGTATACAGACAGCTTTCATAAAGTTTGCATGTGTGTATATATATATGTATTCGTAGGTGTTGTGGTTGGGTATTAGTGGATACGCCGCTCGCTCCAGGTACAGGAAAAACAAGAATTAGCCTTCTGATTGCAGAGGAGATATTGAGAAGGAGCAGGGAACCCTATATGTCTAACCTGATATTGCTTGGAGTTATGTTTACATATATGTATTGGGTTTGTCCTATTACCTGTAACAGTCAGTAACAATTACTGATATTACTGTTATTTTTGAACAATGCCTTTACTAACCATCATCATCCACTCTTACTGGTAATAGAATAGACCCAATATATACATATAACATATATATATGTATTTTCCCGGGTGAATCCTTGAACCGTTCGGTGTGGAGATTCTGTTCATTCCTTCTTTGTCCAGGACAGCGAAAAACACACGTCGAACTCGGACTGACCGGTTTTTGTTGTTTTCGGAGTCCAGGATTCGCTGGAAGCACTTGGTGCAGATCACATCCTTTTGGCCGGGGATCTGATGCTTGCCAAGTCTTCGACCGGTCGGTCGACACGTTTTGCCAAACTCCTTCCTCTCCCCAGATGAGTTAGGAGTTGCGCGAGTATGAGCTGGTGTGCATGTTGCATAAGTCCTGACACATGTATCCTAGTAAAGGTGACCAGAAGCACTAGCAAATGAGATAGGAGTTACACTGGTCACAACTGTTTTGTTCTCGATTTGTGGCTAAAGGTGAACTCCACTGCCTGGATGTTCTCCGGCTTGTCTTGCTGTCTTTGTTTCTTCGTGTTTCTTCTCTACCTTGGCCTTTTGCCACAGGCTTTAAGAAGAGTTGCCTAAAGCTGTCTCAGTTCTTCCAGCTACCCTCGGCTGTTCTTGATTTTGATGGTAGATGCATAATGAGATGGGAGTTGTGGACACCCTTGGGAACACATGAGATGGAACATCTAAAATATATAGCACAGTCATTTCACAAGTCTCAACTCACTAGTGATCAATCTGGTCGGTGGTGCTTTCCTGGGGTCTATGTATACCCTGGGAGTCCAAGAACCATTGATTCAATGTGTCTTTACAAAAGAAGTGTTGTTTTACTGTTTTGCTAAGGATTTTGGGCCACAAAAACAGGTCAACCATTCCTTTAATTGTCTTTGAAGGCTAGGGCGTAGGTTATGCACGGTCGTTCGAATTATTCTAGTATACTTTTGAAAGTCACTGTTTACCCTCACTTTTTCATCCATTTGTACATCATTACGTTTGCCAAAGACACAAATACTTTGGTAGTAAATTGGAGTTGAAACACTGAGACATTCAATGCACTTAAGACTTCAAGTAGTGAGCATGTTAAATTACAAGTGGTTGGAATTGAAACACTGGGAATCCATCGATGCACTTAAGACTTAAATATTATAAATTGGAGTTGACACTAGAATAACATCGATGCATCAACTTTTGGAGCGTTTGAACTCAAAGTTCCTTTAACGTTCTTTATATATTGAGTTTTAAAGTGCATCAACTTTCTGAACGTGTCAACTCCAAAAAGCGATTTTCAACAATATCATTTGAACATCCTAATTATCGGGAGTTGCTGACGGATGTTGACAGTCAATGATGCCTGGGGTGAGACAAACACCCACCAGGCACCGACACAAATCGTATCGACGGTCATTTAGCGTTTGTCCTTTGATCACCCCCACAGCAAAGAACCTTTCCTGCAGTGTTTTCTTTTGCCATGTGAGGAATTCTGTGCCTGTGGCAGATGGGAAGATTGGCGATCCATTGGCATACTGGAAAACACTGAGCCCTGGAAGTGCAGGATGCAGTTGGCTCGAATGTTTGTAGGTGTCAAAAGGGCGGACACGCAGCCAAATGGGTAAAGCGTGGTAAAACCCTCCATTTCAGTACTGTAATCAACTTCCCTTTTGAAGTTGATCTGTTGCAAGACTTTGTACTTCTCTCATGTTTGTGTGTCCACGTATGACCTGCCTTTGACCCTTTCGGTGGTTGTAGCGGTGAATGTAGATTTTGTCATATGTAATCATATGTACATAGGAGGTAGGCCACATCGTCGTAGTATATATTGATGTATAATGATACATAACGATACATAATTCAACGTCGAAATATAAATATATGATATTTTACGTGTGTGTGTGTGACGTCACATATATATGTGTATTTCAATATAGGTACCTGCATGGAGCCAACCTGGGAAGAGCCCCGGCGGACGCCCAAGCAGAGCCGCTGTGCCTCCAAGGAGCCATTCCCTGAGCCTCACAAGTGCCTACGCCCGGCCGCAGGAGCTCCGGCTCTAACCACCACGATGCCAAACCCTAGGGCTTCAACTACCTCCTGAGCAGGTGTTAAGACCCACCCTAACCAGCTCCTCAGGAGGTAGTTGGAGCCCTATAGGGTAAGATGTATAGATAGCCTCCAGGACTCCAGGACGCATTAAAGGGCAAGTACCTCCCAGTTCGTGTTGTTCGACCTCCCCTCACCAGACAGACCCGAACTGGGAGGTGTTAGGTAGAACTAGGCAATTCTGGTACATGAGGGGACCATGTTGGGAGCCAGACCAAACGAGTCCGGGGAAGTCTTAGCAAGAGGCGAAACGGCCAGTTTTGTTTGCTTAGCATGGCATAGCATGGTGTTGTTGTTGCTGGTGCTGCTGTTGTTGCTGTTGTTGTTATGGCACTTCTGACGTTTGAAGAGCCCTTCTCACATAAAGAAGTATGGTTTTGTCTCGTTTTCACAGGAGTTGGCACTTCTTGAGGTCGCAGTTCTGTTCTCAAGATGTTGTCCTTGTGGCACAGTACTTTTGGGGGGATCGTTTCAAGCCGCCCATTGGCCCATTGTTTCGTACTTGTGCTCAGCAGGAGCCTGCGTATACCACCTGGAAGTTGCGGCCCAAAGGAGAAATTAAGCGAAGTATCGACTATATATTTCACAGCTCTAGCACCTTCTCCGCAGGGACAGGGTACGTTCCGGACACGCAGACAAAGTAATTGGTGCCCCGAGGAATTTGCATCGCAGTTATTGGTTCATTGTAAGGCAACACCCAACAAGATCCTGCTAGTGCGCCATCTCGGGATGTCAAATTGTCGATCGTTTTGTGCAATTTTGTGCATGCCTTTTATAGATTTACAGAAGTACTTTCTGGTGTTAAACCACCAATCGTTGGTTTTGTTTGGGACAACAGGACATGTTGACCATCATCCCAAAATCTTCCCCAACGATAGATGTCCTGAAACGACGATCACTCCATGATCACTCCTGTGGGTCTCAATCTCTGACCAACCAGTGAAAGGGTGTGGGTCAAAACCTCTACTGGTTGTTGACTCAGAGCCGTAATATATGGCTCAATGAGCACTTGCGAAGCACTTCCGTACAATCCGTTGCTCAGAAGGAAGGTTTTGAACAACGCTCACCTGGATCTTCAGCTGGCGCAAGCTGGAGGCATTTTTGTTTGAAAAGGCACCTTGTAATGGTAATTGTTTCCAGGCAATTTGTTGTGCGGTTACGTTTCGAGGATGCTGGTATAAATGTCTATTTGTTTATAATGTGTTTTTTACTTTTGACTTTTGATCATCTTTTGGACTTTCATCCTCACAGAGCAAGGGTAACGCCCGCGCGGGTTTTCGTGCGCGGTCCCCGGTGCGTTTCAGACGGGCCCCGGTCTAGCCGATCTTCCATTGGGGGTGGGTGGAGTTATATATATACTAACCCTAGGGCTCCTGGGGGGTGGGTGCTAGGGCGGTCCAACCACCTGAGGATATGGGCCAGGAGCCCTAGGGTAAAATCAAGAGACCTTCCAAAGGTACCCTGGAAGGTTCGTAAACATGACCAGTTTACCCAGCCACGGCCGAGATGAAAGGGAGTCTCATTAAAAACACACACCATGACATACACCCATTTTCCTCTAGAAGGCAGTGGTTTTTGCGAGCCCATGTTCCATTTGAGGGTATTGGTTTGGTTCGATTGGGGGGGGTTGGTTACAAGCCCAGGCTTGATCCCAACCGCGCTCCTAGCACTTCCCAGCGATGATGAGATGCCTCCAGAGCGACTCCCCTCCCGGCGCCTTGGAGCCGCCAGTTGCCTTCGGAGCGCTCAGAGAAGATCAGACTGGTGACTGGTGAGATGAGACTCCACCCCCTTTTTTTCCCTAGGGCTCCAACTGCCTCCTGAGAAGATGGTTGGGGTGGGTGCCAGGGGGGGCCTAACCACCTTCTGAGGATATGGTTTGAAGTGTAGGGTTTAGGAGGAAAGACTTTTCGGGTACCAACCACATCCAAGAAATTCCAGGCAGGAGAAGCATGCGCTTGACAACCTTACCTTCAGGACACCGGGCGCACCTGTCCACCTGCTGTCCACCTGTCCTGCTTGTTCTGCCGTCTTGGTCTGTGGTCGACCAACCATACAAGCCACACATGCAGTCGTGTGACGCATTGTTGTTCGGCATGCCGAGGTGTTACCCTTCTGATCACATGGCCCTTGGCGTTGACTTTATCTTCTGAATGCTCGTGTGACTGCTCAGCCGACTGCTGGCTGAAACAAGGCACATCCACTGAGCAGATGAACCATGTCTGACCCGTTCGAACAGCCTGCTTGGGGAACATCTCCCATTTGCCGATTCCGACCGCGGAGGACGTGATCTCCGCCTGAGGCGGTGATGGCGAGCCATGCGAAAGAAAAGATCGCACGGAGAAGGGGGGCGATAAACATTTAGATGGGCCATTTCGATCGAGTTTTGGTAGGGCAGAGAGGAGGGCAGGGGGAATGTGTTGTCCTCTGAGACGACCTGTTTGGCGGAGAAAGGACTAAGAGTCTACTTAGAGGTCCAGCAAATGGTTCGAGATTCCGATAGTATGTCCAAGCAGGAGTTCCATGTCGCTATTTTAGATTCCAGATATTGTAGATCACTGACACGGTTGATGGTGGATAGATGCCCATTTTGTTGATGATCTCGAACTGCAGGAATGTCTACTTTCTGACCGAGTTTGTGACAGGCACGCGGCGATGGGTTCTTGGGTTCCAACAAGTACATTGTGCGAGCAAGCGAAGGCAATGAAGATCTTCCAGCCACATTGTTCTAGACATCCTGCAAAGGTAGAATGATCTACGGAAAGCAAACTGCTCATCACATCCTTTGGTCGATGGAAGATTTTGGGACCCTGTATATATGTTTGTTTAAATATGTATATATATAATATATGCCTGTGACCTCGTGCTTGCTTTTGTGGGGTTGATGGTTCAGCATACCTTTATTTAAGTGTGTGAACCACATAAACATCCGCAACCAACATAAACATCCGCTAAAATAGCACGTTCGGGTAAAACGCCCATGGCTCACCAATGAACGCCTGTAGCTTGTGTATAAACGTCCTATCATAAGAATCCGAAAGCTAGAGAAATATCGGCAGACTTACAGTAAATATAAGGCTGTGACTGCACAAGGTGGGTTTTCTTGCCGCAGATCAAAAAAAGATACTTCCAGGAATGGTTTAATGGTCATTGGCTCCTAAAATAGCCCCATCTCTTCCTGTGCAGCGAGGATTTGACATTCCCTTCAAGGGATTGTAAGAGAACTAATTGAACCACGAGTCACATTGAACCAGGTGGTGCTCAATCACTAAGTGCATGAGTGGATGTGACAGGGGCACCCCGCCTATCATCCGTTCGTTCGGCACCCCTCTTTTTTAACGGGACTTGGGGATTGAAACTGCGGTTCGTGAACCTCTGCCCACCCATACCGAGCATCGTCACTTCCAGACTACCTCTTGTGGCATGACACGTGCACCTTAAGGGCTGTGCACATCACCTTTCACAGAAACGATCAGAGAAGAAATTGCTTCAGAGACGAAAGCGCATGTGCGAAAACGATCAGTTGTTGGCTGGTAGAAAGACTTCCCAGACCATCCCATAGGACTGGAATGCTTATACCGGTGACATTGACCCTAAAACTATCTTCAATACACAAGTCTTCCAGTCTTCGTGCATTGTTAGGCTTATGACAAGTATTCCACTTCTGGGCAGTTTGGGCTCTTAGACTCGGTTCCCTCCTGGCTCTGGCGCTGGAAGCACTTGCCTGCCGTTCCTTCCCGCCGTTCCTTCCCGGGGCTCGGAGGCGGAGAGCTCTTCAACGCCATTCGATCCTTGGGCATCCTCAGCGGAGTCCAAGCCAGGTGGGGGAAGGGTGTCCCGTCTCCGTCTCGCGAAGCGAAGCGAAGGCGAATCCGAGCACCAAAAGCGCGGAAGGAGTTGGAAGACGTTGGAAGACGTCGGTTTGAAAGGCCCCCCCGTGGTTTTCACGGTGTTCACCTACCCCCGTCCGTGGGAAAACAAGGACCATGGACCTTGAAAACCACTGGTGCAGCTAGAGGAAAACCTAAAAGTCGAACGACTCAGGTCCCATTCGACCCGTGTCCATGGCGAGTGTTCGAGACATTTGGGTATTAGACGTCTTGGAGCAGGCCGTCCGCGTCTCGGTAGACCATCCGACCGACCCCCAGTGGTCCGGCTATCCGACCCACCTCCAGGACCGGCTCGGTTTAGAGAGGTCTCCCGTCTCCCATGGGGTTTTGTTCCGCAAAGGCAGTGGTTTTGCGAGTCCATGCTCAATTGGATCCGGAGGCTAATGGATTTGGTTTGAATCTGAGTATGCTCAACTATTGATCTACTAGGAGTTTCTCACATTGCCAGCAAACCGGATGGTGTGGATGGGACGGCGCTGAGTTGACAAAGAAGCGCATTGGTTTGGCCTGGCATTTCATCATGCTAAGGACCTTTTCCACATGACTCTGAATAAGACCTTCTTGACCTCATCATCATTTCATTTGATGCCCAAGGCTGTGCAGGATTGATGCCGACACCCCCCTTGTTACCTTTTTGCAGATCTTGGGAGCTTTCCACTGGTCCCTTTTTGGCACGTAACGATGCAGGTTCTATACGGGCAGCTTGATCTTGGCGCTACAAGCTCTTCATGAAAAGCTGCTCGGAGCAAAGCCACGCGCCTCTCCGCAGATTTGGCGGTGGATGTTACACTCGTGACGTTTTGTTGTTTGATGTTGTATGCAAGGTGCGCTGATGAGCTGATGTTTCTAGCCACAGAAGAAATGATGTAAAGACTATGAAAGACTATGCACAGACAGAGTATGCAAAATTTAGTTACTTGGGTCCATGCCATATATGGTATACTGGTAGCTCAAGATCCAATCAATTCCTCCACAGAAACCAGTTTGCTGCATGCAGCGTGCAGCAGAGTCTTAGTAAAAAAGCAGAAGACTGGTTTGGAACGGCACCCAAAATCGGAGATCCTCACCTTCCCTCGTGGGTCAGGCAGGGTCAACACCACCACGTTCCAAACGCCGGCTGCCGACGTCCGCTGAACTGCGTGCTTCTTCTTCGCTCTGACGGTGGACGACGGACGTGTCGCCCCGAGGAAGATCATCTACCGAGACCTGAAGCCCGAGAATGTCCGGAGACCTCAGGACCGAGAGGCGTGAGACCTGAAGCTGACCTGAGGACCGCAGACCCGGGTTTGAGGATTACAAGGGCTGCAGTCGTTGATATAGCGAAGATGGGATGCAAAACGGAGAATCCCAGCTCATGAAGCAGAAGTACGGTTTATGGAGGAGGTCCTACACCATGGCAAAGATAGGAAGATTCTGGTGTATGCCTTGTCTTGAGTGGTTCCGGGTACATATGTGGTGTGCTTTTTTTTTTCAAAGCAGTAGGACACACCCAATCCAGTCTGGGCTTGTTTCTCAGGACCTACAGTGTTGGATTTGCCTGCAGATCTTGGAGTTGAGACTGGGATTCTGAGGTCTTGCTTGACAACTATGGCTACATCAAGCTCATTGACTTTGGCTGTGCCGTGCGCTTTGATCAAGGCCCACTCAGCAGATAGAAGACAAGAAGGTTTCTTGAAGGTTTAGTAGGTACCAGTGCACCAGGCTATCTCAAATGTCCCTGACTGATCCTGACTATACTTCATGTGCTGAAATCAGTTTTTGTCTTACCCACCAATCCTTTCACCACCAAAACCTTGCGAAAAGCTCACCGGAGCTCTTCCAGGCAGCCATCGGAGCTTGGTGGGGACGCCACATTACATGGCCCGGCACCCAGCGGGCCGGTGGTGGGGAAACGATTCTTTTCAATGCTTTTCCGGGGTTTTGGGGCCTGTTTTTGGAAACCAAGAGACAAAAATTCCTGGCCTGGCCTCCTGGCAGGGACTCAGGGGACGGCTTCTGGTTGGTGTGGGTATGGAACCCACAGTGGTCGGAAAATGCAGCCTAGGTCTTAGCGTCGTAGACACTGGACAACTTTCTTGCGACCGTTTTGGGGAAATCCAGCGGTGTGGGATGTTTTTGTTTGCGGCTCATTTGTGGATGAAGTCAGCCTGAAAAGGCTTCATCGGGCTTCAAAGACCATGGTTTAGAGTTCAGAGGCTCGCACAGCATGGAGCTTGCATGTTGTCGATTTGAGGTGTGAGGCGCTTCCCGATAGCAATATGGTTACCGATGAATACATGCCGGGCCATGGCAGGTTAAAACCGGTCATCCATGTACATCACTGAGCGTAGTGCCATGGTTTTTGTTGGCAGATCACGCCTGTCTTTCCTTGTGCCTCCATTCGGTCGAGAATCCATCACCTGCACGTCACATCGAAATATCGTCCACGTGGAGCGAGGCGCCCGAAGTGATCTTGGGGAAGGAATACCACTTTTCCTGCGATGCGGAGTCCTGAGCTGCGGTGTTTCCACGTCGTGCTTTTCTATTTTGCTGTGGCGGTGTCGGGAGAGAAGACCTATCAATGTCTCCAACTGCAGACTCCGTGTTGAATGGAGAAGCCTTAAAGACTTCACACGCACGTTGACCAAAGATTGAGATCTACAGCAATCGCATGCAATAGCTGTCATAGCTGCATGGGCTTTTCCGTCGCTCAACCGGAACTCTCCATCGCTCCATTGGACCATCCACCCCAGATTCTCAGATGTCCAGTCCGTCAAACCAGGTCCTGAACAGTGTTTCGTAGGATCAACTGCAGGAGCTACATGGACCAAGAGAGGTTAAGTGACCTTATAGGACCTTACTGGGGTACCTATGGGATAGGCTATAGGGTCCTTCAACCTTTGTTGGGAGGTCCGTTTCTGACCCCCAGGGTTTGCATGCTGGCGCGCGAGTTGCTTGTGGTCACACGGGGTGCCCGCTGTCGCTGAAGCGCAGCCCCTTCGCGTACGTGCGTGCGCGCTGAAGCTTCGCAGCAGCGCTGAAGCCGGCGCTGACGCTACACACCCTGGTCGTGGCTTTTCGAGGTTTGGTCCCTGGGAGTCTGCTTGTACGAGTTCGTTTGTGGACCTCTACCCTTCGGCCAAGATTGCGAAGATCCCAGACAGGCAAGATTCAGATTGGATGAACAGGACGAAGGGGACGAGATGTTCTGAGACATCCTTCAGTCCTACTGGCTTCTCATGATGATATATTTGTGCACCGACCTTTTCACTGATGACACGTCGTTTTCCCGGTTTGTTTTGACAGGTCTTTCAAGACATCCTTCTCTCGAAGCTGCGGGGGATCACAGGTTTGGGCGTCTGCGGGTTCGGGCGGGTTCGGCCGCTGTTCCACGGAGTTTCGGATACTCCGAAACAAGGTCGACCCGTGCTTTTTGAGGATCGGTATCTTTGCATGGCAGTGCTAGGCATAGCTTCTGGGAGCAGTTGTTGTGTTTGCCTTGTTTTCTTTACCACACACAGGACCTAGGAAGTTGCATCCATGTATTTTGCGGCTGACACGTACAACCCAAGCCACTGGTAGCAGAAAATGAAAAAGCAATGGAAAAGTCAGTGGATGTTTATATTTTGATATGCGGAGCAAAAAGCGAGTTTGCCTCACATGTTCTGGACGTCCTGTCTTTCTGCTTGTGGACCACGGCTTCACAGTGAACAGCTGCTGAGGTACTTTCCAGAGCATTTCATCAACACCCCAGGAAAGCATCTTCTCAGGCTGATCGGAACATGCTGAGGAGTTCTGCACGAAGAGATCCAGTGGTCCACACTCTCCCTAGGGTTCCATATACCCTTTTTGAAGGTGATTGGAGACTCTTGTATGTAGGCGCCAGGAGGGTTCAATCATCTTCTCAGAGGGTGCCAGTGGATTCTTAGGGTCTGGAGAGTTGACTGTTTCTGAATGGAAACCACCTCGGTCCCTATGGATTTCAGGCAGCCACAAGCAAGAAAAAGACATTGGAGGAACCTGGGAATCGGTCGGTCTATGGTTTTAGAATGTTTTGGCTACCAGCTATAGGCTGCATGTTTGGTTCGGATCCACTGGGGGATGCAATTCATGTGTTTTTTGCGGGTCATGTCAGTTAAACTCCGAGAATGGCTTCACCAACGTCAGGTGTTGTGTTTAGTACTAGTACTATATATGTCAAGGTGTAAGTCACAACATACATCAAAATAGTATTGGTTCTGAATAATCTGAATAGAACATGTGACAGAGTCGCAAGCACAAACATTTTGTTGTTTTACATATATACCTTATATTAGATATATATATATATTATATTTGTGACGAGGCCGTGAACAGCATTCTAATCTACAGAGGTACATGAATCACTCATGAGTGGCCAGTGTTTTTGTTTTATCGACCAAACCAACTGCTGAACAGATGGGTCGCGGCGTCGCGGTTCTTCCTTTCTTGGGAGTATCCAGCTTTGTGCAGTTTGCTTCTTCAAGCAGAGACAACCAACAAGCTTGACCTCAGACTCACGACGCCGTCCAAATAGTTCCAAAATCGCTCAAATGGATCAGCATTGCAAGGCACTCTGGCAGGTGCCTCTTGCTTGACTTCGTCCTCCCGCAGCCCCTCGTGCCCTGCCTTCCTTCCCGCCGCGCAATCCTCCAGGTGCCTTTTGCGGAAGAACTCCCGACTGCGCATCGGTGGCGAGTCGCTTGGGGTGGAGTATATAGGACGTTTCGGTTGCAATGGGTCGCGGCGCGGTGCGTTGCAAACGGGAACGGATCCTATCCTTATAGGAGTCCTTATAGGTATTGGTTTCTTTTGGTGTCCTTTTTTCATTCATGTCGCTGGAACGGCCTTCTCATGCCTTATTTCAACGATGCTTCAAGAGCTGCCTTTGCGGCTGTGTTCTGAGTGGCTTTGCTTGGATTTGCTTGTTTGTGTTGCTTTCGATCTATTCACGAAAGCTAGCGAAGCTAGCTGGAGTTACTCTTGCGATGGCAAGGTTTCTTTCGACCGGGTGCAAATCCTAACCCCTGATTTTTCAGGTCGAAGACCCCCCCCCCCCCCCCCCCCTCTCCCCTCTCCCCTCTCCCCACCCCACCTCCCTCTCCTCCTCCTTGTCTTCCTCCCACCTTCCCTCCCTCCTCCCTCTTCGCAAGTTCGACTCCGTCCTGTCGTCGCTCTTTGGCATGCGGTTAGCGTTGCGTATCTTGCGGCCGCACTCGCTCACTCTCACTCTCACTGTCTCACTGTCTCACTGTCTCTCTCTCTCTCTCATCTCTCTCATCTCTCTCATCTCTTTCTCATCTCTCTCATCTCTCTCTTCTCTCTCTCTCTCTCTCTCTCTCTCCTCTCTGTCTCTCGTCTTTCCGTCTCTCTTCTCTCTCTTCTCTCGCAGGAGGATCCGGGCAAAGAGCCACATATAAAGGACTCTTCACCCCTGCCTCCAAAAAGAGCGCCGTGTTTTTTCCTACCCTCCACTTTCCCATTCTGGAGCGCTAGCTTTCGCCCCCCCCCTTGGCCTCAAGTGCTTTGTCTTTGTGTTTGTTTTCTGTTTCTTTGGCTATGCTTTGCAGGTTTTCTTGCTTGTTCATCTCAAGCAAGCTGCTTCACATAGACGCCCATAGACGCCCGTCCTCCATGGCCGTCCTCCTCCGAAGCTCCGAAAAGGCCGTCGACCGTCACTGGGGTTCCCAGTGAGTGGAATCTCAATGTGTGTTCACGACTTGATAGGACTGACTGGATTCGATAGTTGGTCAGTTTTTCCCTCCAAATGGTCGTTGTGGACACTTGAAACCTAGGGGCTTCGGGTTTAGGGTTCCGGTCTTTTGAACTCGACCGTTTGTTTCGGACCCGGTGAGACACCCGGTGTTTGGGACCGTTTTCCGGTCTCGCTCGTCCGTGCTCCGGTGCTCCGAGGCACGGCCTCCAAGATGTGCCGGGACGCCGGTCTCCACGGCAGGGGGGGGATGAGGTTGTGAGGTCTGGGGTGAGAAATCGTGTGAGGTATATATGGTGTGAGGTGTTTGCTTCTTTGGGATGTGGCGCAAGCCGGTATAATGCGAGGCTCAAGTTGCTTTGGGCTGCGGGTGGCACGCAAGAAAAGATGTTGGGCACGAGCCAGTGACCTGGTGGGGCTCCATGTCAACCCATCCTTTGTCCTCCAGGTGGGGTCTTCTGGACACGTCAGACGATGTCGCACGTCCAACATCCATGGACCTCGCGGACTCGCCGGACTCCCCTTATCGCCCTGAGGCGGGAACACGCGTACTTCCGCAAGTTCAGCTTCACCAGGCCGAACCTGGTTTTTGTTGGTTATTTTTTACGGATGAACCGGGGGGTGGAGCATGGAATGATGTTAATACCCTGGGAGTCCACTATTTTGGTCTATTTCGGCGATCTGAAGAGGAATGTCCTTTTGCTTTGCCGATCCCAAAGATCGTCGACTGGGACTTCTGGGGTACAGATCAAGCTCTGTTGGGGATCCACCAACAGCAGCACCATGCAGCACTCCACGTCCTGGTTTCACTCAGACCGTGCGCGCAGGCGTTCACCTGTAAGCCCCGCCCGTTGCGTCTCATGGGGCTGTCACCGTGCATTGCATCGTCTCGATTCGTCTCGTGGAGACGCATGGAGATGGCGTTGCAGTCTCTCCGAGGGAGTTACTTACATGTGTGTTTGTGGGTTCCACACCACGTGTGTTTGTGAGGGAAGAATGGTCTGCCAGGGGCCAGGGGCCAGGGCCTATTTTGTCCACTTCCAGGATGATTTCAGGGAGTGGATGCTATGTTTTTATGCATGTGTGTGCGTGTGCATCAGTTGCAGGATTGATATTAGAGTTGTGCTAGGCCAGTGCTGAGTATGCTTGAAGTTTTGGAATCATTTGTAATCCAAGCAGAGCCATTGTATGGGGTCAAAGATCAAAACTATTCACTGCCCCAACAATCCATGAATGTATGGAATATTTGCCTACATTCTAGGCTCGGTTTAAGATGTTTGAGGTTGATTGTAGGCAAATATATTCCATACATAGATTGTTGGGGTTGAGGTTTGGAGCAGTTGCTCACGGGTGCTTTGGTCAGTCCTTTGATGATTGGGCTTTGCCGTTCAGAGAAACAGTGGCAATGGATCCAGCACCTTTGTTGAGCCGAGCATGATCATATGAATTATGCATATACCACTCTGACTCACTAACATTGACATGAAAGTGGAAAATGGATGACAATGGGCCCCGGGAAGAGTATCTTCCTCTAGAAACAGGTGGTTTTCCACTTTCATGCTAGTGAGTGGTTGGTGGGTAGGAGGACATGTAGAATATAATATAACATACACCCGGAAAATGAACATGGAACCTGAACATGGACCTTTGGAAGACTATTCTCCTCTACAACTCAGTGGTTTTCAGGTTCCATGTCAAATTTTCATTGTGTAATATAACTATAATAATTCTATTTATGTTTATGTCCTAATTTCCCAGATGATCTGGATTTTCGTGCGAGGGAATGGTGGTGCTCTAGCCAGTCCAATTCCATGCCCTGAAGTTGATTGTTCCCGTGGTCAAGCTTGAAGCGTTTTCTGAGACTGGCTCATGGCACCAAAACATGAACCAGTCTCATTTGATTGGGATGCCCGGCATGGAACAGGTGGACACACTTGTTCTTTCTTTGGAGAGAGCATCTGAGGGGGTCAGACGTTCTGTTGACTCGAGGCTTTTGGGCCGCAATTTAGAGCCTCCCTTGGCCGGGAGCCCAAAAATTGCTGCTTGAGTCTGCTGAAGGTCCTGAATGAAGCAATTGCTTGAGTTCCATACTGATGTTTGTCAAGACTGTGGGACGCGATAGTCGCCCCCTGGCATGAGTTTGGCACAAGGAGTTTGTGCGCGCGCATGGAAAGTGGGCCCACAAACTACTTCGGGGGGCCAGAAACCGACCCGGAATTGGACCGATAGTCCTCTTACCAGGCACTGGTTCGGCGAGGCAGGGTCGTGCGGCGCAAGATGATCCTGGACAGGAAGCTAAAGTGGCAGTTCTCTGCTGGACAGGTGCAGCTGAGAAAATGAAGCGTAGTGCGGACCTTCCACATCCTTCCCTGAGCCACTTTCACTGCTCATGCAATGGTGAAGCGCGGATGAAAGATCTCGTCCAGCTTGCATAGGATGCGCATCCCAGCTGGACTCTGGAACCCGCAGTGACTGTAGACAACTGTTCGAACCAGTGAATTTTGGAGTCACAGACCTTCTAGAAAGGTCATTCGGATACCAAAACCATGCCAAAGTTGCCGATGATCATGCCACGGACAGCTGCAGTGGGGTCATGGGAATGTTTGTCACACAGAACAATCCATGAAACCTTCATTGCCTGTGGTATTTGTACTACGATAGCCAGCGCATGGTCCACCAAAAAGAACCTGTGCAGCCCATAGGTTTTGCTGCTTGACCCGGGCCCATTGTGCTCAGGTCTCCAGCAAAGAAGTTCCAAGTGATGAGGATGTGCCATCCTTGACACGACAGGAGCCACGTGTAGATTCGCACGCGAGCCGCTTGGCCGCTGGAAGCATGCAGAGACACCAACAACGGCATACCCCTTGGATTGCCCTTGATATCCCACCAAATAGGCCCAAAGTAGCCCTAGGATGAGACGTCTCTGGACTACTTGATGTGGATCGGGTGGCTGTTTTTGGTCTGGCCCCGAACACTGCGTGAAACCCCCGGAAGAGTTTTGTTGTTTGGTTTTCCGGTCTTCTTAAACACAGCTCTCATGACCACACAGTAGTTGTACCACACAGTAGTGGACACCTCGAAAGGGTTCACCATGATTCACCATTTTTTCTTTGAGTTCCTGAACTCCTTTTCGCGGACGTTTGAAGAAGCCGGCCTCTTGGTGGGACGTATGAAGAACCCTCACTCCAGTTAAGGACAACTACTGGTAGGATGCACACAAAACTGCAAGCTGGACACAAAACCCTTTAAGAGGCTGAAAAATGCCGTTGTCTCTTCTCAAGGTTCAAAAGCGGGTGTTTAGATATTGAGACAATCTTCCCCGAAATCGCCGTGGATGACTTGTTGTACAAACCAGCAGAAGTTGCCCATGACTTTCATGTCAAATACATTCAAATGAACATTGATATCCATGCCATGCGCAAAATGGTACCATTTGCTCAGCCTAGTATTGAGATATGTTATGTTTTTCTCGTGAAACATCATGAAACGACCTGGTCAGACCAGCTCCGAAGCCTTCGAACAGGCGGTGAACCAAACCCCGACCGGGGACGAACCCCAACCGCGACGACGCGCCCGACCGGGCGCGCTTCGCTTTGGCCCCCACGAAGCGACGAAGCGAAGAGCGAGACCTTTCAGACGGAAGCGGCGGTTCGGGATCTACAGGGTGATCCATATTCTTTTTTGAGGGATGTGGACGTATTCTCAGGTTGAACGGTTCGGTACGGGGTCTTGAAGACCACCCAAATCAATGGTCTCCCTGCTCAGCTTCTCAGAAGGTATGTGGATCCATAGAGTCACAGAGCACGTGGGCTTTTTGTAGCTTTTTGAGCCCGGCCACAACGTGGCCCTGTTCCACCAGAGAGCGAAGGGTCCCAAATGTCCAGGCACCGACCCCAATCCTCGAAGAGAATCCTCAATCCTCAATGGTTCGGGGCGGGATGTAAACCTACCATGGTCTGGAGACTGCAAGGTTTTGACGCAGTCCGCCATCTAGACTCCCGCCAGGAGACTCCCCACCGCCAGGAGACTGGGCCGCCTGGCCTGATTGGTTTGGCATTTTTCTTTGCAGAACATTTGCCGCGGGTGTCAAATCATGTCGCAGCAAAAGAGGAAAGGGTGGTAAATTTACCAAGGGGGCTAAGGAGCCCCTATGCAACAAGGTCGATGGAATGATGCAATGCAATGGGATGCGATCTTGGATAAGCGTGGCTCCGTGGAGAAGACCTTCTTTCCTACCAACACGCGGGCGCCCCTCGTGTTCACGGATGTTTCCGTGCACGCACGGAGTGTTCCCCGGGTACATTGGGCTGGTTTTTAGTTGACCCACAAATGGCATGGTCCATAGGACAGCAAAGAAGAACTCCAATGGATCTCTGGAGTGTTCCAGCCCCGAAGTTCACTGAGCTCCGGGTGGACGCGTGAACCACGTGGTCCACGCGAAGTACGCTGCAGCACGAGCCGTCCCAGCCGACCCTCCGCTCTGGTCGTGCGTCTTCGGCCCGTCCACCGGTGGCCGCGGACGGAGCCGTCGTGCATCCCAGGGGGGACGAGAGCTTCCCGGAGGATGATTGGGCGGCGGAGTTCTGAGTGGCCGGAGGGCGAGAGGAGCTCCACATGTAACGGTATACGATATATATATAATATACCTAAAACCGGAGTGACCTCTATTTTGGACAACTTTGGACCACGGACCAACCTTTAAAAATATGGCCGGTTCCTATCAAAGCAGGGGCGTGTTTATAATATGTAGACCGTTGGACCATGTTGCCTTCCAGATCGTCCTTCTTGTGGTTAGCTCATGTGATCGCCGGTGCCACCCGGGCGTGTCCCAGTAGGTGCTGGCCAAGCAGTCTTGATGGCAGAGGCAAGCTCTCAGCTTGAGCATCTCACGAACAGGAAACTTGCCCTCTATTCAGTTGAGCAGCGTTCCAAACCTCTATGAAGGCATTGTGGAAGCCGACGCGTAAGCAAAGAAGGATTATAAGGCCAAGACTAAAGGGTTTCGACCACAGCTCAGTTGGAATTGGATCCACTCAAACAGGGTAAGAATTGGATCCTCACTTGTCAGGTCCTTTTTTACAAGAAGACGGAGAGGGAGCTGACACGTTTCCTTCAATATGATCGGGTTCAGACAGGGTGGGCAAGGCACCAGATTTCTGTGCACTTCAGCCGTGCTTCAGCCATCAAAAATATGCCAATGCTCTTTAGCCCAATGAGGCAGAGGTGATTCTGCTGGTGCGCGAATGAGAGCGAACGGAAGAGCAAAATTCTCTACGCGGGTGAGGGGAGCCGGTGCCACCCAAAAAGAGTCGATGAAGGATCCCCAGCATTGGTTGGAGCCTTGTAAAATTGTTTGAGCACTAAAACGACTTGATAAAACTTAGAATCAAAGCCGGGTGATTCTGATGATTTGGAAAAGAGCGGACTTACGTCCGCCCGTGATTCTTTGGTTAGAGAAGGTTCTGCATCCTTCCTGCATGAATGAAGCTCTAAGATTTGAGCTTTGGACATACACCAAACAAACTGCTGGTACCTTCGAGTTGGGTGATTTGACGGCCTGAGTTAGATGCGCCTGCCAATAGATAACTCAACACAAATTGATAATAACACTTGCGTTCCATTGGTTAACTTCTCCAAGCTATGGAACAAACGGATGATAGGCGTGAGGAACAGCATCTAGAGCCCTTTCTGAGGGTTCCAAAGGCCATGCTTTTCTGACGAGATCATTTTTCCTTTACTGTGTTGTGCATGAGTTTATCCGTTTTTGGAGCAAAGATAGGGGTGAGTTGTCAAAGCCTCTTGGGAAATATCCTCAGCGCTCCAGGTAATTGGATCATGTGCCTTTTGGTACTTTCAAAGAGCTTGCAGCACGTTGAATATGATTGGTTTATACAATGAGAATCAATGAGATGTGCTTCTTCCCTTGGGCTTGTTTCATTGGTCTGGCCCCATGTCTCCGAGCTTATCAGTTAATCCATTCATTGATCCATTCATTTGGCTACCGCACACCGCACATGCATCTTGCCGGCGGTCCGGTGGCCCATGACCTTAGCAAAAGAGGGTGGGTCAATACTCCATAGACCTCCAAAAACATCCCAAAATAACATAACAATGATAAACAATAGACCAATTTGACCTCCATAGACCTCCATAGGTGGGCCAAAAAACGTTCATGAGAACCAAGGATAACCAATGGATATATATTGGAGTGTTCACTGGGAATACGGGTTGTACTCCATGTTCATGGCAACAAGCTAGGACCACACGCAGTCGGTCCTTTAACTCCTTTGATCAATCCCACCCTCAATTCAGAAAAATCATCCACCACCAGCGGCACGTAAATATAGGTCATTGTCAACACGTCTATACAGAACTACGTCCGGTTCTTTTATTCAATCTCCAGAACACCTCATAAAGAGCTCAACTCAAAAGCACCACTTCAGTTCCATGCCTATCCCCGCTTGAAAGACCTTGCTAGGCATCAAAAACAGATTTACGAAATTCCAGACACGGATATCTAAGCATGTACATGTTTATTGCCCTCCAAGTCCTAGAGCTCGCCTTTTCACCTTCGAGCCATGGCTGCCAGACGTTTGGGTGGCGGGAGTGCTGTGAGACGCCCAGGTCGCGAAGAACGACTCGAGAAATTGCTGCTTGGAGACTGGGAGTGGCGACAGGGGGATGGTGAAGATTTGCAGATCTAAACATGATTCGACATGATTTAACTAATCCCACATTCGCTGACAAGATGCTGCTCCAAGCTTTGTCAGCTGTTCATGAACTCATTCAGGCTCAACTCGGGTGCATACGGCGGCGCCGCCGTCGACGACTCTGCGTCCCAGAGAAGCCACAGTGGGCCGCCCATGCCGCGGCCGCCAGCAGCGCGGCCGCCTTTTTTTTTTTTTTTTTTTTTTTTTTTTTTTTTTTTTTTTTT